GCGCGATCTTTAAAAAAGTTAAAAAGGGTGTAGCTACCTAAAGATAAGGTTAAGCCACCAGCAGGATAGCCTCTTGTTTTATAAAGCTGTGGATCGTTTCTGCCTGCAGTGAATGGCAGTTCAGTGAGAGCATAGTTTGAGCTCTGAGATAAGTTGAGGGTTACGCCTGGAAGATAAAAACCATTCCAAGCGATGTCGTAGCCTAGCTGGGCTTGCTCGTAGCTGAGTGCCAAGCTTTTTACTGTTAGATTGTTTTCGAGCATTCTTTGAATTGCTTGATCCAAGCTAATAGGTATAGGTGCAGCAAAGGTGGATGTGGAAAAACTGACGAATAAAAATATAAAAGAAAAAGCCGAGCGTTTGACTTTCAATTTTACTTTCCCCATAATGAAAAGGATGCGGGAAATTCTTCAAAAATTACACATAAAACTATTCAAAAACTTCGGTTTTTTTATTGTGGTGCTTTTCATTGGATTTACGGCTTTTGCAGCACCTTGTGATGAATGCAATAAGTTGTATTCGGATCTGGAAAAAGAAGAGAGATTGAGAGAATCTTACGTGATTTTGAAGCAAAAAAATGAGGACTACCTCAAAAAACCAGACGTTCCAGCAGGAGCAGCGATCAAGGTTCGTAGTAATCTCATGTTGATCGGAATTAAGATTGAAACCGAAGACAACAAGATTGAAGCACTTAAAATTCAAAAAAAGAAGCTTGGCGAATGTGTGAGTTGTCCAAAGCCAAAAAACACCTAAGCAAAAACACGCGCAATTTCTTATAGTTAAGAGCTAAAGCTTAAGTCTTGGATTTAAGCTTAGGTTCCTGAATTCATTCAGTTTTTAGTTAATTTTCATTGCGAATGCTTGCGCGCTGTGGCAAGATTCGCATACTTTATGATTTATTTTCAATCACTCACCAAAACAGAATTAGCGGAATTGCTCCTCCCATTAAGCCGTGTGAAAGAGGAGCGAGAGCTAAGGGATATGCCTGAGGGTGAAGAGAAAACTGCTTTTCTGGCAAAGGTGGAGAAGAAAAAATTAAAACAATCCCAAATGCGTGCTCAACAGATTTTTCACTGGGTGTATCAGCGCTATGTAGTGGAATGGGATTTAATGACTGATCTGGCTAAAGATCTTCGGGAATGGCTTAAATCTAACATACAGATTTTTCGTTTAGAGGAGACTTACGCAAAACAATCACAGGATGGAACCTTCAAGTTTTTGTGGAAACTTCACGATGCTAAAACGATTGAATCCGTGATCATCCCAGCTGCTCTTCGTGAAAAAATCGGTGACGAAGTGATTGATGCCTTGGAAGATGGAAAACGCTATTCAGGAGTGGAGACCAATAAGGCCGGGCTCAATCAAGATTTGAATGAAGATTCCTGGGCGCGCCTCACTGCATGTATTTCTTCGCAAGTGGGTTGTGCGATGGCCTGTAAGTTTTGTTTAACTGGTGTACAAGGTTTGGATCGCTCCCTTGAAACACATGAAGTGGTGACTCAAGTTCACGAGCTTCGGATGCGTGCTCCGATCACCAATATTGTATTCATGGGTATGGGTGAACCACTTCATAATGTGAAAAACATCATCAAGGCTTGTCAGATCATGCTCGATGAAGACGGAATGAATTTTAGTAAGCGTAAGGTTACGGTTTCTACTTCTGGTTTGGTTCCTGCAATTGAAGAACTATATCAACACACTGATGTTTCGCTGGCTATTTCCTTGAATAGCTCTACAGATGAGCAGCGTTCCGCAATCATGCCTGTGAATAAAAAGTGGCCAATAGCAGAGTTACTCAATGCATGTAGAAAAGTGCCACTGGGTGGCCATCGCCGCATTACTTTTGAATATGTCTTATTAAAAGGGTTTAACGATACCATTGATGATGCTCACCGAGTGGCAAGAATGCTCAAGGGGATTCCATCAAAAGTAAACCTGATCCCATTTAACGAACATTCTGGTTCAGAGTTTAAGCGCCCAACGGATCAAACAGTTTTAGATTTTCAAAATATTCTAGTGAAGCATGGTTACACTGCAACAGTGAGGATTTCCCGTGGTCGCGATATTTCCGCAGCGTGTGGTCAGCTTCGCTCCTTGTTCGGCACTGCTCGTGGAACTGAAAAGCATAAAGACTACGTTTCTCCAACCACCGCTCAGTAATCTTTTGATTATAATCCGTATTGAATTCCAAAGGTCAGGGAATTGGTTTTAGTGATGATGTTTTCAAATGTGAGAAAAATATTTGAAATATCTAATGTAGCGCCAATAGAGTGATCATTTGGCAATAATCGAACATAGGAAATGCCGCCTCCTAATTCACGATTGGATAGCGAAAGTAATGAAAGTGAACTGGCAATAGGGGAGTATTTAAAATAAGCCCCGATAATATCACCATTTCCTAGAACTTTTCTGATGGATGGATAAAGCTGCGGGCCACTCAAATTAAAGTAACCAAATGAATTAGAAGTTACAAAAGTTGTAGTGTAATACCAGCCACCATAGATGGATAAAAACCATTCGGTACTGATATTTGGGATTAAGTATCCAAAACGTAAATTAACTCCTAGAAAGTTCATTTTTTCAGCAGCACTTTTGCTTAATTGCATTGCTGTGTAATAGGTGCTGAAACCAAAATCCCAAACCTTTGGAACTAGAGTGTAGTTAATGGATACTTTAGCGGTAACAGCAGACATGGAGTAATCAGTGATTCCAGATTGGGTATAGCTGATAGAGCTGTATCCGATCCCTGGAACCAGGAAAAACTTTTTTGGTTCAGGTTCAATTGGAGTAACATCATCGATGATGTTGCGATCTCCCTTGATATGCCCGATACTCTTTTCCATGGATTTTTTC